TAATAGAAAAACTGAAATGCGCCATTTTATGAAAAAAATTAGCATCTCTAGGAACACATTGGACCGAACAAGTAGGAAGGTGAGAAATAGAAATTTTGCAATCTGTCAACATTGTTCTGAGCCACCATGGTGGTTCGAAAACATCCACTAATGGAAGGTTTACAATAGCTTGGAGCATCACCTTCAAAAATGACTTTAGAGAAGTTCATGATCTTTGCAAAATAGAGACCCTTAGGTTGTGTTTGGTTAGAAAGAAAAGAAGTGAAGGGAAAAGAAAGGAAGGAAAGCTTTTCTATTCCTCTTTCTCTTCCTTCCCTTCCCTTCCTTTCTTTTCATCTTTTTTCCCTTCCCTTTGTTTCTTTCAAACCAACACAGCCATATAGAAACCCATTCGGCCAAATCGGCTTAATGGAAAGAAATAGAATAGGTATAGCTTGCGCAAAAGGGAGAGACCCTACATGGGGACCGGATCTAATAGGCACAACATAGGAAACTTCAGTGAGCATTTTATAAATATTTTGACAACTGTTAAAAGTTGTCTTTAATCCTTTTTAGTTGTAAGTTGGGGGTATTTAAAGGGACAAGTGTCAAAAAAATTGAAAGTGCTCATTTAACATGCTTACAATGACGTGCCTACCTGATCCAAACTCCCCAACGTGATCCTAAACCACAATTCCAACTATACTAGTGGCTTTCCCTACAACTGCATCAACATTTATCTATATTTTATAAAGTAGATACTTACTTTGGTTTTGGTGAGGTCATAAAAATTGTTTGATTATATAATGTTAACTAATATCTTTACTTTTTAGCACTACCACTACATTAGCTTTTCTAACTTGATTAGAAGGTTTACTCCAATTTGCATGATGATGAGATTCAACTATAGAGTTGGTAAGGACAAAAATTACAAACACAATGGGTGCATGGAGTCCAAATCTACTCCTCGCACCAACCTTACAGCATGACATGGCCACAYGCCGGGAACACTCTCGTAATTGTATTTATTATTCATAGGGAGATGTTCCCAATACACGGTGGGATGTGGCTATTAAAGGATGAGAGATCCATCATATGGATGGCCGAACCCTACAGGAAGGTTGGGTGAAATTTCAAAATTTTTTCTTTCCCATCTGGGAATCGCATTCTTTATTTTAGAAAACTGAATTTTCAAGGATCATTCTTGAATCCAAAATCGGATCAGATCTGAAACCAAAAGCGAGGAAAAGATATACCTGATACGAAGTAACAATAACTTCCAATGAAGGTGTTCACACCCAAGGAGAAGACCAAAACCCGCCTCCACTGAAAATGACATAGTGTGTGGTGAAGCAGGATCAGTAGGACGACTCTTCAGCAAAAATGAAACAATGACTAATGAGCATGACTTCATATTGTTTCTTCAGCCAAAAAACAATATCAAGAACCTTTCTTGATCAGATCCACAAGTGGAGATCGAACTAGGTAGGGATGGCAAGAACTCTACAAATTGTTTATGAAAGTGAGGAATTTGCCCCCTATTTATATTCTTCTTTGGATCAACCTCCTAATCTAATTAGGAGAGAGTTTCTTGATCCAAATATGATATTTGGATCTAGACCTTTAAATGGATAAGACTTATCTTATCCTTTAGCTAATCCTAATCAGATTATAAATCAGATATTGCCCATTTTAATTAATTAACCTAAGTCTAGTTCGAATTGGGCTTTAGGTCTATTAAGTTTATGTGCTCACTTACTCCTTAACCTGTTGCCCAGTTGGCTCTCTTTGTATGGCGTGGGACCCTTACATCGATCTACACATCAGCCACATGGGTTTAGCCCAACCTATGTTACAAGGCCTGACCGAATTCACCGTAGGAGACAGTGAACCCCTAAGTCCATCACCATGGGCTCTTAATGGGCCCAACATTTACACTAAATGGTTCTTGGATCCAGCCACCTTATAAAAACCCAAAAACTGTGGGCAGATGCAAGATTAGCCCATCAAGTATTATTCTCAATGGTCTTACACTTAACCTCTCAGCCCATAATGATCAAACGCTACCCGACAAGAGAGGACTTCTCTCTCAGTTGCAAGGTACAATGCTGCACTCTCTACTCACATTGATCCCGAGAATTAAAACCTTTATATATAGATATATGTATATCTCTATATAAATATATTTTGCAAAACAAATTTCAACGTTTGAAATCAACTGCCGGCAGTTTAGGTTTCCATCAAAGAGAGTGCATTTCCCGATCATTCACTTTGTCCGATAAAGGAGCTGATCTTGTAACTATGATCACTCACTCAGGTGAATTCTCGGATTGCCCCAACATACTTAGGTTTTGACCCGTAAAGGATTTCACTGATTGGCATATCAAAGATGGCCCAATCCGACACCTAGTGCAGTACCATAATCGAGTCTAAGGGTCAGGTGTAACATTTCAGTTTTGACCATCTATCTCCAAGGTCCAGGGCAATGCTGGAATTTGGTCCAGTTCAGGGTTTCAAGGAAACCTATACTGCATGTACCTTAGGTCTCACCCTGGCAACTGAGGCAAGCCACCCCAACCAACTTGGTGGTACATCAGTGCTAACCTTGGCAAGATAAATCTATCAATATCTATCCAACAACTGTGAAGATTTTAAAATAACACGAGTCTCATAAGTGTCCAGTTTAAGGGTATTACATAAAAATATACCAAAATAACATGAATCAATTATGCATTTTATCCATTTACAATAAAATGATAATAAGTACACCAATCTGATTGGAGGTAAGGGCACATACACTRTCTAACAGCTACGAGGAGTGCTCTGTGAGGAGCAGATATCAATTTGGGTGCATGTGCCTTAGGTGATAACCAACCATTAAAAATGTTTTCATTTAAGCCTGATTCACTTTTCAAAAAATTGCTTATTTGGGTGAATGTTACCCATGTACTTTTATTTCTTAGGTAAATAAGAGAATAACTGTTTTAGCCATAAAAGGTCATTTATTTTATGTGGGATACACAAAAAATTTAGGCCCTGTTTGGCAATGTTCCTACTTGTTTTTGTTCTTTTAGAAATTCCTGTGTTAGAACATGAATTTTATTTCTTGCTCCCTAGGAATAATAGAGGCATTTGGTAAATTGTTTTTGTTGAACGGATTTTTGTTTTACAAAAGCAGAAACAACGTTTGAATAACGAAACTATTTCTTAACATTAGTTATACAAATCCATCCTCATTAAGTTTAAAATTAAACACGTGCACCTGATAACGATGTGTTTAAAATTGATTTTTGGGGATAGTCTTCCAAGAGGAGATGATCGTTGCGTTTAAAAAATCATATAAATAATGATCATTGGGGATATTCTTTCAAGCGGAGGTGATCTTTGCAACAGTTATTGATAAACAAAATTATAATTTTAAGATGAAAAAACAAAGCATCCAATGATCCAATGTAAAAAACGACATGGAAGACAAGCTTACTTGTCTACGTGATTCTTGCCAGGAATGAGTTTCTAGTTGTTGTCCAGTCCTTGGCACAACCTCAACTTCTAGCTCCCTAGGTTTGTAGCGGTAGAAGGTTGAACGAATGAAGATTTGGGGTTAGGGCTTAGAGAGCTGGAGTTTATAATTATGTGTAAAATGACAATGCTGTCCCTTCTCTTACGTGGAACACTGCACATGTGTTCGTAAATAATGGGGAATGTTGTGGGAACCATGCATCCCTTGAGAACGTATTCTTTGGGAGTGTTGATTTGTAACCCTTGAAGAACACGTTTTTGAGTGTTGTTCTCACTTGAGAATGGCTTATTTCTCGGTTTTTTGCCAAACATGTTTCTGTTCCGCAAGAGCGACAGGAACAAGAGAAACACTCTCATGGACGTTGCCAAACAATATAACATCCCATGCATTGACCAAATTCTCCCCTCTCAAAATCCAAAAAACAAACAAAGCCTTAAAACTAGCCATGTCTACCTCAAAAATGATGCCTCCTCTCATATGCCAACCATCATCTTCACAATGATTTTGCCTATTGATCTACACCAAAATAAGATAACATCATGTGACTCATGAAATCAATGCTCAGTAGGCCGAAAATTCATGCAAGAGACGAGCCAGAATGGCCTGTGCCCCAAGGCAATACACTAGAAGATGTGACAAGGTCTCATTCACACTGACACAACGAACGAATAGACCAAGTAGCAGTGTGATGCTTGTGAAGAAGATCCCATACTAGAAAGTTGTTATAAAAACACTTCCACATAAAAGCTTTATCTTTATGAATGGGGGAAGTACTTTCAGTTTTCAGAGGTGTTTCCATTTCATTTCACTAGCCATAGCCATACTGGTGGTAGATTAGGTACTTGGCACTGTTGATGTGATCACCTTCACTCCCAAGAGGAAGTAAATCTCTCATGAGGTGTATAGGTCTAAACTAGCTTCAGCAATGGTTGGACCAGCTTGATGCGTAAGTGCATCAATAGCCCGGCCTATTCACGCATTGGGCTTCGGTTTCAGTTCACACTGTTTGAGGCTCGGATCTATTCAAATTTTGACAAAAGTTGTCCGAGCTCGGCCCATGTCGATAGCTCCTTAGCACTAATCAACTGCGGCATCTTTGAGAAATAATCCACTGGACCACTCCCACTGTCTCACTGTCACATTAAAGGTCACCAAGCCAAACAGATCCGCAACAAACCCATATAAATGGAGGCCCAAAGCCCATCTCGGCCCACTGGATATCATGGAGATCCGATGGTTGAGACTTGAGAGCTCTAGTTGCGCAATAGTTTAGTTCTGTGAAATACTATAACATTGCTCCTTCCTTATTCTGTTGTGATAGGGCCCACATTAATTAAGCGTCCAACCTCTCGTCAATCAACGTACAGCATGCACGTCGATAAAGGGGCAATCAAGTCAATTAACATGGCGTGGGTTCATTAACGTACCTTCGTAAAATGACGAAAGTAACCTTGGTTCATTCGCATAACGGCATAAGTCGCTTGCTGATTTGAAGCGAAGAAGCGGAGAGGAGTCTGGAAAATTTGAGCGCTGCTTCGCTTGGGACTACTGTGCAACGGCTGATCAGAGAGAGACTTGCAGGCTTTCAGCTAACACAACACATCGTCCACTAGTCATAGCGACAATTTCATCATCTCGCGAGAAAATCGTGAGTTGAAAATCCAACTCAAATCCTCGTTGGTTATTTAGCTAGAGAGAGAAAGAGGAGAGAGAAAACTCTGCAATTCTCGTCTCGTGTCGGAAAAAACGAAAAAAAGGAGGGAGAGAGAGAGAGAGAAAGAGGAGAGAGGGGGCGGATCAAACTGTTCATTCAAATTAGGCATGGAGAGAATGCCCTTTTCGATCCATATGTCTGCAAATCGAGAAACGTCGACAGAGAGGGACCATCAATGAAACATCTAAGAAACCCTAGAGATGGAGGATTTTTATCAGATTTGAATGGAAACCCTAGGGGACTCCAGACTAGCAGGATCCACCAACAATGGCGGTTTTCCGATCTCCTGCCGACATTACGATTTCGTGCTCTCCTTTGCAGGGGGTTGACCAGGCCGGTGATATGATCGTCTACTGAGTCAATCGTCATTAACGGAGTAGTCATCTGTTCCTATTCTAATAGGGTTTTTTCTTTTGTTTTTATTATTTTTTTTGGAGAGGAGAGGGAGTGATAGAGAAAGTGAGATGGGGATTTCTGAAGGATCGGGTGGGGTTGATTGTAGCGCTGGGACTATAGTTTGGGTTCGCCGGAGGAACGGGTCTTGGTGGCCAGGGAGAATACTCGGCCCGAATGAACTATCGGCTTCTCATCTGATGTCTCCCAGATCAGGAACGCCGGTCAAGCTTCTCGGAAGGGAAGACGCCAGTGTGTAAGTCTGTTTCCCCTTTTTTCCCCGTGTAATTTTTGTTCTTTTAAACTGTTTTCCACTTTTCCTGTTATTTGCATGTTAATTACTTCACTTTGCTAAATTATAATTAAAATAAATCTAATGATTCTTAAGTAGTTTTAGTTGGCCACTTATTTTGAGAGAGCTAACCTGGTGCTTGATCATATATTTTAAGTTGATTGGGAATGTGTTATTGGACTTATCCCCAACGGAGCATTTTTTTTTTGTTAAGTTCCAACTGGTTTTGGTTGTGGTTCTTTTACTGCGTTGTTTAGGATTTAAGGTGCTAAAATTTTATTTGTTAATTTAAAAATATTACATATTTCTCCATGTTATTTTGTGAATGTAAAGTGATGCTAAGTTAAATCTTAATGGGATATATGATTTTGATTCAGATAAGAAGAAACTAGAAAGTAAACCCAATATTGTTTTTTTGTTAGGCTTGCCTGCACTTTATTCTTCAGGAAAAAATTCAGTGCACTTCAACTACTGTTCTGTGTTCTTTGGGCAAGAGCTTCTCCCCTTTTTGAAAGTCATGTCTTGATGAATCAGGCATATGGTTCTCAACGTTTTTATTCAAAGTTTCCTTCGATTTATATTGCATAAACATGGAGAGCATATAAACAGTCTGGCCTATATAGAACTTGAACGTGGAAGGCGATAACCTTCTTGTTAATAACACAATACTCTAACCAATTGAGTTACTGAGCTAATATGTTTTTTTTTTTGAAATATTTTATTTTTCATAATTTATATTTGCATATGTATATCAGTTTTTATTTTGTTTTCTTTTTCAAAATTGGTGCCTCACCTTGTATGGGTGTACTGCTTTTCTTCTGCCTTACCTCTCAAACTCTACAGTACTCCTTGTGCTTTAGTAGTCATGCTTGCTTTTCAAACATTGATCCACCCCAATGTTCCTAGTTGAAAATTTGTTTCAATTGGAAATTGTCGTAGAGTTCTACCTACCAAGTCAAATAGTGGGAGGGGGGGGGGACTAAAATGCCTCAATAGTTGATGCTTTGACTACCCTGCTCATGCTTGCAAATGCTTCCGTTTCATGCATGCATGTAATTGGGGCTGTTATATATCTGGAAATCAAGTCACATGTTAAACCCCTTGGTTTAGAAGAAATGTAAAAGATTGGGAAATTCAGTCATTTGTTTCTTTGCTGTAATTCTTTCATGTTTATACCCTTGATCCAAAACAACTGATTCATGAAAATGTAAGTGGGATCTGTCAGGGTGGTCTCTCTCTCTCTGGTGTGTCAGAGATTCAAGTCCAGGATCATTGTCTAGAAATTAGATTTAGGAGGCACCTTTACCTTATACAATATCCTTTTTGATATGGACAGACCCACTTGAAAAAATGCTTATTGGTATGGAGTATGGACAGACCCACTTGAAAATGGCTTAATTAATGATGGATAAAAGAATATGTCCAATGGAGATCTTGTCCTATGCCATTGGTGTTGGAGCCACCTGATCACTGTTTCCTATTGTAAATTTGGGTTTTTCTTATGGGCCTGCCTCTTTGATATGCTGGAAATGTGGTGGTGCTTCCCCTTTTCCATAGTTGAGATATTCTGATATTACCAGTTAAAAGGACTAAGTGCGGGGAATAATTTTATTGTCCATTTCCCTTTTTGCCATTTTTTTCTTTACTTCTGTGAGAAATAAACTGCTACATTTTTTAACAATGATTTTATCAGAGTAAAATTATTCTATGGAAGATCAGCAGGACATGTTCATGGCTTTCAATCTTTAAGAGTTGAGAGGAGCTCATTATAATTCATGTTCCTCTTATGCATGCATTAAATGATACATTGTTATCTCATCTTTGATAGTTTTGTACTCCCAGTGTATAGCAACTAGTTGTTCATGGGTTAATGTTGTATTATTTGTATATGGTCTTATGTTTATGAATATGATGCAAATTATGCTTTTCCAACAAAAAGGAAAAAATTATGTACATGGATACCAGGGAGGCTAAGAGGCTGGTTTTGGCTTGGGTCAGGCTTAAAGCCAATCTGATCTGAAGTCACTCTAACCTGAGCTTGACCTGACCTGACTAGTTGGAATAGGATTACCAAACCAATCTTCTCTATCATGTGAACAGACCTCTATTCTTAGGGAAACCATATTTGCAATTTGTTTTCAATGTCACCATGTCTGTGCTTCAGTTGTTGGGTTCAGTGCAGGCCATGCTCAACCTGAACCTGACCCAAAACTTGACTGAGACCAACCTGAACCTGACCCAAAACTTGACTGAGACCAACCTGCACTTGACCCAAAACTTGACTGAGACCAACCTGAACTTGGCCTGCCTGATAGGATTGGGTTGAGGTTGGTTTACCACTTAACCAGTGTTGCATGGACTCCCTTAATGGATAATGTGTCCATATTTCTTTTTGATAAATGATAATGTGTCCATATTGGAAATGAGCCCAACATTGCATGGATTATCCTTTTTATCTCCTGGCTTATTGGACATAATGAACAGATAATCTGCAAAGTGAAAGCTATTTTTTATATAAAACTTTACATGTTAGTGAGGGCAATATTTCAAACCACTTTTTGCATGTATATAATGCTAGAGTTCAAAAAAAAAAAACTATTTTTGTAGTCTATACTTTTCCATGGATGTATTTGTTAAGTCCATGTTTTTCATCTTGCCGAGTCTGGATCTTGGACACACATTGGATCCAACTTCCATGTCTGTGTCCATGCAACTTCCATCTCTTTATTGTTTTATATTATATGATCAATTAAAGGTTTGCTTCAATCTCCAACATTTGGAAAAGTTTTGTTTTTCTTTTTTTTTCTTCTTTTAAAATTTGAACTTTTTTCCAGGATAAGAGTGGTCAAGGAAGACGTGAGATTAATGCTTCTCAGCAAAAGAGGAAATTAAAAGAATCTAGTCTTAAAATTCTTTGGAAATAATGAATGAAAGCAATGGAAACAATCAATAAACTCTGTCAATGCCCTTGCATCCATGATCCATCACCTTTATTATTATTATTATTATTATTTGCTGTAAATGATCCATCACTTTGAATTACATGATTTTCTCGAAATGTTCCAACAAAGTGTGGATGGGGATCAGGGACTGTCAATTCCAAAGCATATGTTGTTTGAATACTCCCTTGATGTAATAGTGTCCATTGTCAACAATTCATTTTCTTTTCATGGACAATCTGTCTTCCTCTCCTTAGTTGGTTTGCACATGTCTTGTGGTCTCTTCTTGCATTCCCCCTCAAAGAAATTCTCTTTGTAATTTTTTTTTTCTTATTTGGAGGAGCACCAACCATAGAAATAGTAAGCAAGAAAGTTAGAGAGGGTTGCTTTGATGACTCTGAGCTTACTGCCTTTAGAGATACAATTTTTTTTCCAAGATGGTAACCAATATCCATCCCCAATATTAAAATGTCCAGATATTAAAATAAAGTATCTTTTAGGATTTCTTCCAAAGCAATCCTTTGATATTTGATGGGTATCCTCCACACCATGCCAAATGTTTCCGAGGCACCCCAAAACATCACTCAGCTCAACATTAATTCAAAGCACCTGATGGTGCCCTTAAAGCTACAAAGAGCTTCTTTCTTTTGTTTAAGAAAACATCATATCATCTTCAAACTATAAACAGGAAATATTGACTCTGTTGTTATCCAGCTTGAACCAGGAAAGATGTCTATATGGTTTGCCCATTCTATGGAAAAGGCGAAAAGCATGCAATATCAACTGCCATACTAAATGGAAACAGTAATATAGTGCAAGAACTAGAATAAACAGTAGTATCCCATACCATGTCATTGAGAAACTAACTTACCAAGTATGCTTGTTGAAATTTATGTTGTCTAGGGATGCTTAAGGAAAACTGCTAACTTGTAGATTATTATTATTATTTTTTTGTCATCAGCCTTTAAGTGCATATCATCAGTTGAAATACTTTAGGCTCCAAAGGTATTTCATGTTTGATTGATAATGTTCCTTTGTATTTTTTCTGCACCATCGTCATCGTCATCATTAATTCTGTTCTTTATCCCAACTATATGGGGTGAGCTGCATTAATTCTGTTCTGTTCAGTTCCATATCTATTGTTAAATTATGAGCCACTAAATCATTTCTCACTACTTCAACCCATGTCCTTTTTAGTCTGCCCCTAGATTTTCTAGTTCCTTCACTATCATTCTACTCTACACTATCATTCTCAAGAATTTGATAGAAATGTTTTGATATTTTCATCTGTAAGTTATGCTTTCACTTAAGTTTTATTCACTATTTGTTATTTTTTTGGTTAACATGTAATTTTGGTAGTTTCATTCGGTGCTGCAATCATAGCTTGATTATTGGCTTCTGCTTTCCAGAGATTGGTACAATTTAGAAAAATCCAAGCGTGTAAAGGCTTTTCGCTGTGGGGAATTTGATGATTGTATTGAGAGGGCTGAATCCTCACAGGGTGTTCCTATCAAGAAAAGGGAGAAATATGCTCGCCGAGAAGATGCCATCCTTCATGCCCTTGAACTTGAGAAACAGTTGCTAGAGAAGCGACAGCTGAAGTTAGGCATTGCTTCTACGAGTGGAAAAACTTCTGGTGCTCCAAAAAAAGAGTTAGGTGCATCTTCAGAAAATTTGGGAAGAGATCGTGGCAAATTGGGTAATCCTAAATCACAGGATGAGAACATAGGCAATCCTTTATATTTGCAAAAAGTCAGGCAAGGGAAACAACCAAACTGGGAAGAAGATAATTCTGAAGCCATCCCTCGCATGAGAGGCTTACAGGACTTTGGGCTCAGGATTGCCCCCGCAAAGAGAAAGCAGCTTTCTGGTTCTGAAAGTTCTCGTAGAATTGCTTCAGTTGATAATCAAGATCATGTTCTTTCCAGTAGTAGTCGTGGTGTGGGAGGTGTTAATCATGCTGGTAGCATTAAAAATTCTTTGGCCATCAAAAGGAAAAGGTCCCAGGGAGGCCTGACTGAAGAATCCATTGTGAAGAGACGGGATAGACGCCGGCCTCTTGTTCAAGTATTACAGAGTAGTGCAAAATTACAAGTGCCTCACTCTTTACAAACTGAAGGTAATACTGGCACTTCATCTATACAAAGACAAAAAGGACAGATGGGAGTTATTTACTGGGCAAGGAGTAGCAGGTGTGTTTATTTTCTGTCTGATTCAAGTGATTGTTTTGATGATACAGATTTTACTCAAGACCAGATGCAGATATCACCAACCCAATATGAGATGGACTGCCAAATACATCCTAGTTCCTTGACAGAAGAAAACAATTCCTCAGGATCGATGGATGATGGTGATTCTGATTCTGAGAGGGATTATCTGGATCCGGACATGGATGATGAGATGACTGTTCTTTCAGGTTTGATTTTTTTTTCTATCTGTGAGTGATGTTTTTCTAAGAACATATACAAGATAGATATCTATCAGATGTTCACATTGGAAGCTGTTTGATCTTTCCAATGTGTTCTTTTTAGTGAAATCATTCAAGATGGCCTGTGATTTCATTTTACTTTCCTTGCAAAATACTGCATGGAAGACTTGAATTCATGTCAAACCTATCCCTAGAAATATATTCCATTGGCCTGTGAAAAAGCTAACTGAAATGTTTTTCACTTACTGTATGCATCAATGATCTGGAAGAACTATGACAAAAACAGTGTAATATTGATGCTCCAGAAGTATGAGCTAGAACTTTTTTTATTGGTTGTCCTTTTGGTTTTTTTGTATTACATATGACTGCATGGTTGCACATGGAGAACATAGTTTTCAAGGCGCCAAGGCAAGGCAAGGCGACTGGGGGGCGCCTAGTCGCCTAGGCGATGGATTTTTTTATGTTAAAAAATAGATCCTAGGGTAGTTCCCTAGGTACCATAACCATATTTCTTTAATAATTATTCATGGTTTTCATAAGAAAAGTATAAATTTCATATTAAAGTATAGAAAATCAACATATCCATGAGAAGAAAAGGAAGAAGGAAAATAA